GGCCGTGGTGTGCCTATATTGTTTACAATTAACATGCAAAAAACGATCAAGTTTTTACTGGCAATAAGAGAAACTAGCAGTTTTATTAATAAAGAAAATCCTTATTTATTCGCTTTACCTAATTCTATGAACTCTTTAAGAGGCTCAGATGCCATTCGTAAATTAGCTAAAGAATCAGAAGCTAAAAATCCTGAAAATCTGACCTCTACAAAGTTAAGAAAACAAATTGCAACCGTAGCACAGTTACTAAATTTATCTGAAAATGATATTGAACAGTTAGCGAACTTCCTTGGTCATACTAAAGATGTGCATAAACATTTTTACCGATTATCAGAGAGTACGTTCCAGGTTGCTAAAATTAGCAAAATGTTGCTAATGATGGAAAAAGGTCAAGGACATGAATTTAGGGGGAAAAACTTAGATGAAATAGATATAAATGTGGAAGCCTTAGTTTCAGATGAAGAAAATGAAGATGTATCTTCGGAGGATGAGTTGCAAAATGATAATAATATAGATATTGAGATTCCAAGTAACAAAAGTGATAAAAAATTGACAAAAAAAAAGAAAAGCTACCGAAAAATGTCTACTTCAAAAACTAAAGAAAGTTTGCCTCCAACTAAAAACTTAAAAACTACTTCACCAAAATATGTTAGAGTTGCTTGGACAGAGGATGAACGTAAAATAACAACTGATTATTTTAAAAAACACATTTTATTGAAAAATGCTCCTAAAAAACAAGAATGCGAAAATCTAAAGAAAAAGCACCAACTGTTAAAAGATAAGCCTTGGAAAAAAATAAAACATTTGTACACAACATTATAAAAAAAAACAGTTTGTAAGAGTTGGTAATTTATTTTAACTTGTTTACAAATTTATTATTATAAATATTAAAAAAAAAATCAAAATATTTGTACACATTATAAAAAAAAAGTTTGTAAGAGTATGCAGTTTATTTTAACTTGTTTATAAATTTATTATTATTAATATTATCAAAAAAAAAAATCAAAATATTTGTACACAACGTAATCAAAAAAAAAAAACAGTTTGTAAAAGTTTGTAGTTCATTTTAACTTGTTCACAAATTTATTATTATTAAAATTATCAAAAAAAAATCAAAATATTTGTACACATTATAAAAAAAAAAGTTTGTAAGAGTTTGTAGTTAGTTTAACTTGTTTATAAGTTTATTATTATTAAAATTATCAAAAAAAAATCAAAATATTTGTACACATTATAAAAAAAAATTTGTAAGAGTTTGTATTTAGTTTAACTTGTTTATAAATTTATTATTATTAATATTATCAAAAAAAAATCAAAATATTTGTACACATTATGAAAAAAAAAACAGTTTGTAAAAAGCTTGTAGTTTATTTTAACTTGTTTAAAAATTATTATTAATATTATGTAAAATGTCATGATTATACTAATATTATATTCCTATATTATAAGCTTTTGTGTAATCCTACATAATTATCTATTGTTTGCCATTTAAATCTGTAATTTGTTGAAATTAAATCCCAGAAGTCAAAAATAAAATAAAAGATTTACCTACTTAAAAAAAAATGTTGAATATTTTAATATATTTTGTATTGAAACGTTTTGATGATTCCTTGGTGTAATTAAAATCTTATTTAAATGCTATATTATGACAGTGGTTGTATATTAGGCTTATTAAGTAGTAAATAATAGGTTCCACAGACGTTTTTCAGTTTTTGTTTAAATTGTCTATGTAATAATAAATACACAAACCTACAATGGTACCTATTAAAGTATGAAACTATGATATGAAGCATAGGTAGAGCCAAAAGGCGTGCAGGGTATACAGTTGCACGCACTAATCGCCCCAAAGGCTGCTTTAATTTAAGTTGACTTAATAAAAGTAAAGTCCATGAATGGTTAATTTGGCTGAAGTCTAATGATCTTTATAAATACCTTAACCAATTTTATAATATAATTCAAAAGTTTGTAGTGATCCTAGTAACAAGTTGTACTTGTAAGAGGTCTTTCTCTAAATTGACTCTAGTTAAATCCAAATTGAGATCTACCATGAAGCAAGACAGATTAAATGGTTTGATGGATGGTATTAACAGTAGAACATAGAATGGCAATCAATATTGATGCTGATGGTGTAATAGATTGATTTTAAGAAACGAATGTCTTTATAATATTTTTGAGTGAATTTTCTTTATGTTTATAATATAAATACATATCGTTCAATTTTTTTTTATCTGTTATGACGTAGGTAATGCAGTTATATCTTTATTACATACTTAAATCTTTATTAATATTAAATATAAAGTGACCACTAATTTACAGTGGAGTACCTATTTTAAATTTGTTCTAGGGGTCCAATAATTCTGACATAAAATAGGACATAGGTAGGTACTAATATAAAAATATATTTTATAATTAATTTTATAAATATAGATATATTTTTTATAGATTATAAGACTAGAAAATAGTTTTTATTATATTTTAAATTTCATGGGCTAATTTTAACACAAGTATATTTTATAATTTAAAAGTACAAAAATGTAAGTCTTTTTTTATAGAGTTTATCCAAAATTTTTTTGTGGTAAGAGAGGAGACTATAAGAACAGATTACTCGTGATAGTTGCTATTAGTTACTTTTAAAAGACCTTCCATTAAAGTTTAATAATGAAGTAAAAATTAAAGTTTACCAATTTGATTTAGTCTATTGAACCTATCGATAAATTAAAAAATGTATTAATCATATAATATTTAACTTACCTTTTGTCTAGACTTCCATTGTAAAAAAAAAAATTGTGAAGAGACTTAATATTGTACTCACAAAAATTGTTTGAAACACACGTTGAACGGTCGAACAGGTAATGACTTAAAATCAAACTACTCATGTAATCAGATTGTGATTACAGTTCGTACGGATTCGTTAATTATATTGTGTACTATATTTATATTTGATAAGGTGTATACAACAATTATATAATACTCTCAACCTTTCTAAAAATATTTTTAATTAATACTTTTGTCCGCTTAAAATTGCAGTATATACCACTGTGCGTCGTTCGATAACGAAATTCAAACATGAAGTAAATGATTCTACGACAATTGCCTTGTTTACACGGCAAAAATTCAAATATATTAATAATAGCTACCTATAGAAATAGTTTATTGGAGAATGATGTGGGTCGTCAATTTCTTGTAATGTTTTGACTGTTTCGATAATTATTGATGTTTATCTAATACGGGTATTTTATAAAGTGGACCTATACCTGGTACATACAATACAAGGAAAAGTTTAGGTAGCTACGCGCAGAGGCCCGTTTTCATTACCTAATTTTAAACTATATTTCATAGAAATATTTTTTCACGGGAAAAAAACAATGTCCACGAAAGCCTACAGAAAACGTATACGTGTCTCACGTCTACAGAAATCGAGGACAACAAATATACATGTATAAGAATTTTATTTTTATTTTTTTTTTTGAAAAGGTTTTCTCCCGTACCTAAATACGCCACTGGCATTAAAAACATATTAGTGATTTTAGAGATTATCCCCCCCCCCAAGCCCCCCTCAACGTAATTGTGGTGTGTCAATTTAAATTCTGCATACACTGACAACACTTCTGGCTCCACCTATGATATAAAAACCATATCTAAGCTCACTTTAAAAAGTATTAGAACCTTAAGTTAATAATGTATTGGATCAGTTGTTAAATGAAAATATTGTAATATTGGAGATCCCACAGCGTTATATCAATACAAAATTATGTTAAACAATTAATATGTGGCTAGTATATTATCGGTCAGTATTATATTGTCTATATAAGTGTTACCCAGTAAGTAATTCAAACAATATGGCAACGTTGCAATGATCTCACAAAGTATTATGGTTTGAAATAGGAAAAATGTCTGGATCTCACATGATACTTAGTAAACAAGAAAACACACATATGGATCTAATAAAATACTAAAATTTTCTTACACACACTGGATCTGATAAAGATATATCGGAACAAAAAGTTTTTCTGAGTGTAAAATAATGATAATTATAGCATGGTGTAAATTTTTAAATTTTTAAAAATACATATTTTTCACAGCTCCTAGAACTTAATATTTCGACTGGATCCCACAACGTACCTCTTTTCTTACGGATCTGATAAGATACTTTTCGTATGTATGTGTGTGTGTGTGTGTGTGTGTGTGTGTGTGCGTTTATGCTTAATACGAAATGGGATCCAACGTATGGTAAATGAACAGCGAAGTGAGATCCTTTTTCGAAGTGAGATCCGAAATGCCGGATCTGACAACGATTTCACTTAAAATGAACTCTACTAATGATATTTCATGATATTTCATTGAAATTACCGGATCTCATAAAATGCGGAAAACAAGAAATGTGTGTGTGATTTAGTATCGGTGTGTTCCATGTAGGGCGCACCACTATCGATACGTACGTAAAAGCTATTTAATATTACACACACTATGTATGGATATTTACGCCATCTCCGAGATCTAGGTATCGGCAACAGCGCATTCATTTAGCCGGATCTAATATAATCGATTCAAAACCATATTATTAAAATATAAACTAAGACATAATTAATATATTATTATAATTTATATTGGCTTCGTAGCAGACTCGAGAACGCACGACTGGAGCCATGCACATGTTAGATATTTTTTAAACAACGTGCGAGTTGTCTATTTTATAATTTGTACAATAAATAGTATGTACAATATTTTGGTTATACTCCGCGCCACGAGAGAATGCATACGGCGGCCGACCAAAACACGTATTTTTTCGCGCATCCCTACCACTTTACCAGCACGATCTCCACCGGTCGGCTTGTTCCGGAGCTCACCGGTTTCGTCGGCAGGTGTGTACACTGCGATCACAATAACAAACATATTTTCCAAAACGCCGTTTGTCGTTTACCGATTCTCGTTTATGAACAACGCGCGCGCCGTATTTTTTTTCACTAAACCGATTTTACATTTTTTACTCTTTCAATACAATGGACGAAGACAGTGGAAGTGGAACCATCAACATTTCACCGATGAAAAGAAATCCTCATGGAACCGCTGTATGCAGTGACCAGTTGCCGCATGGTGGGGACTTTTGGCCTCGAGACAGCGGAGCGCAGTCATTTGTATGCGCGTGCCGTATGCATTCTCTCGTGGCGCGGAGTATAGTTTATGATATGAACCATGAAGAACATACTAACAATAATATAACACAGTCTAATCTTATTATTGTTCACTCTGAATATTAAAATAAAAACAATATATTTCTTGCATAACGCTCTAATTAATTGTTCTACTCCAATATTCCATAATAATATAATTGAAATAATTTCTATGTTTAAGTGAATATCATTTTTATATTATAGTTACCTAACCATTATAATATATTATATATAAATTAATATAAATTCTTCATACATCATAATATAATTTTCTATTATAGTAAAGAATCCCGTTCATACTTCTTTTTCATTCAAGTTTTCATCGTGACATCATACACTCGAAATACTCAAATCAGCCGTACAATATACAATAATATTATAATTCATACCATTTTCTGTTCATTCTCCAATCTGCAGATTGCAGTTTAGTACAGGCACAAATCCAGGGAGCCTACCCACTCCACAACACATATAAGTGCCTACTACTGGATAGTGGATACTACTCTTAATTCCTTTTAAATATACAATAATGTGCGTTTATACTCAATGTACCTATATTATATTTGTGACATAAACAAAATAGTTGCCCCCTAAGATTTTTGCAACTGTACCAGTTGTAGTAAGACATCCCCGCAGCCGGGCAGACTTGTAAAATGTTAGAATGTATTTTAATTTCAGAAAATACATGCATCTGTAGACGTGAAACTAGCATGCTAAATTAAAAATTGGTTAGTAAGGTAGGTATAAGAGATGGATACAAACGGTGGCCCCGATCACCTAATTTATCTATCCCATTTGTCATAGAAGATTTTTGAAACGGGGGGGGGGGGCTCGGGATGCCTACTGTAGGGTACTGTTACTGTACGGTCCGTGGCTGTGGATCCAGAATTGTACGTAAACATACTAGTTACATTTAGTGATATGAAAGGTAATTATATTTAAACGGATCTCGTAACAAATTCTAACACAACCTTCTTATAAAATTGAATGTAATACTTACGTAAAGTGTATTATACTCCTATAGATCTCGTAACGTTCTTATTCATATTTAGAATTTTGGTGTACATTGATTTAAAAATTAATCAATTGATAATGACAATTGATATTTAAATGTTCAAATGTGCAATTACATTAACACGTACCTATTTTACGCATACTTATATTTTTAATTATATAAAATAAAAATGTATTGATATTATCTTTGTGAGATCCTAAAATGTGTTTCTTGGTTCTAACCTTTATAGAACTCGTAGCGTATAGAGCGTAGTATAGTACGTATATTAAGCTTGTTGAAATATACAATTAATATGTAGTACATGTAGTCAGCCTTGACACGTGTGTACAATATAGTAACTAGTTATGTACGAGCATAAGACTCACTCTCTCACGGATGTAACATGACCTCGGTCGTGCATATATATAGGGCCTTTGATGTATGTAATATTCACTTGCACAGACGCTGTCATACCGAGTGTACGCGGTGTGTGTGTATAGTCACAGTTTAATTGTCCAGTTGTACGTTATTATATATTATACTTATACATAATCATATTGTCGTGTTATTACTTATTATATTAATGCTAACATCATTAGTCCGTCAAGCTTCACTTTCATCAGGTTATGGGCCCAGTCAATAACCAAGACAAACAGTCTAGTGGATTCGTGATCGAAGTATTTTTATATTTGTATTAACGCAGAAAACTACAACCAGTCGGAGATATCCTGGATTTCGGAAAACGGCGGAACAGTGTACATAGGTAAAGTTTTGTTATAAATTGTTATACAGGAAAGTATACGAAGAATCCATCGGTCATGGAAGACACGGTGAAGATAACAAAATTATGTGCGGAAAACTGGTCGTTATGGAAGTTCCAGATGAAGGTCATTTTAAATGCCTTGGAAGTAGGTGAGATAGTTTCAGGCGAATGGACGAAACCAGGTCTACCTATAAAAAAGTCGGCAGGAGAGACCGACGAGGATGCCAAAGCACGTTGGCAAAGGCATACAAACGCTTGGCAAAAAGCGGACGGTAAATGTCAGAAAATAATAGTTACCTCAGTGGACGATGGTCCATTACAATATTTGATTAACTGTGAGACTGCATTGGAAATGTGGGAGAAACTGCTGAGTATTTACGAGCAGAAGTCTGAGGCAAGTATACATTTGCTTCAACAACAATTTTTCAGTTATTCAAAGGAGTCGACAGATGACATGTCGACGCATATTTCTAAATTGGTCAATTTAGGAAGGAAACTGAGTGTAGCGGGTGAACCAGTTACGGATAACATGGTTATGACAAAAATACTAATGACACTACCAAAAGAATATAATCATTTTTACAGTGCTTGGGATTCAGTCCCAGCGGGAAGTAAAAATATAAATAATTTGACTAGTCGATTGTTGATTGAAGAATCACGGGTTATCCAGATCAAAGGTGAAGTTGGTGAACAAGAGAAATCGAGTGCATTTCCGGCCAAATTTCAAAACAGATCTGATGGAAGAAACGGCAGTCGTAATTATGGAAAAGGTAAAAATCAATTTACGAATAAAAGTAATATTAAGTGTTATTACTGTGGTAAACTAGGTCATTATAAAAGAGACTGTAGAAATTTTCTACAAAGTGTACACGGTGGTAAAACCAGTACGATAGGTACGAACTTGAACGCATTCGTAAGCGAGTCAAGTATAAATAATATTGCAACAGATGCGTGGGTACTAGACTCGGGCGCTTCGGATCATATGAGCGCAAATCGAGAGTGGTTTTCAAGTTATGAACCACTGGACAACACGCAACAAATCACGATAGGTGATGGGACGAATCTGTATGCAGCAGGTAGAGGTAATATTAATATATTATCATACGTAAATGGTAATTGGAATAAAAATTACATGGCAAACGTGTTGCACGTGCCAGGACTAAAATTTAATTTATTTTCGTGCGGAGCCGCGATGGATAAAGGTTTAGTAATGACGTCAGATAGTAAGACGTGTATGTTAACTAAACAGGGGAAACCCGTATGCTCAGGTAAGAGATGCGGAAGGTTGTTTGAGTTAAACATCAAGGTCGAAGTACCGACAAACGGGTACGCGACGGTAGCTGTCGAAAACAGGTTGTCTGTTTGGCACGAGCGCATGGCACATCAGAATTTACAGTACGTAAAAAGTTGTTTGGCGAAACACGAGATAGTATGTTCGGCCAAGGACGACGAATTCATGTGCAGCAGTTGTATAATAGGTAAACAAAGTCGTAAATCATTTAGTAAAAGTAATACGGAGTATCACAATGTCGGTGATTTAATCCATGCAGACCTATGTGGACCAATGGAGGTAAGCTCTATAGGTGGTTCAAAATACTTTTTGTTATTCAAAGACGACTACTCGCATTATAGAACGGTATATTTTATTAAAAATAAATATGATGTTAAAAATATTTTTGAGACGTTCATAAAAAGTGTTGAAACAGAAACAGGTTCTAAGGTCAAAATATTACGAACGGATAATGGATTAGAATTCGTAAATAAAGAAATTACGGGTATTTTGCAAAAACACGGGATTCGACATCAGTTAACAGTTCCCTACACACCACAGCAAAATGGAAAAGTGGAACGGGAAAATCGTACAATAGTAGAGTCAGCGAGGACAATGATTTGTGCGAAAAATTTGGATGTATCACTTTGGGCGGAGGCGGTAAACACGGCTGTTTACACGCTTAATCGAACAGGAACCAGTTCAGTTAAAAATAACTCACCATACGAGTTATATTACAAGGTAATGCCAGACATTAAACACTTACGAGTTTTTGGTACTGTCGTATATACACACATACCAAAGCCAAAACGTAAAAAGTGGGACCCTAAAAGTGAAAAAGGAATATTTGTTGGCTATTCGGATAACACGAAAGGTTATCGTGTGTATTATTCGAAAACAAATAGAATTTCAATGTCTAGAGATATTATATTCGAAAACGAAGGTAATAAATTGGAAAATATAATTGCAGACAAATTAGAATTCACAGATACTCAGACTCAAGTCGAGGACGATCCGGTCAAGGTCGAATTGACGACGGTCGACAACAGGAGTGGCATGGTGCTACGTGATCGGAATACATTAAAAGCGCCGATCAGGTATAATGTGTCGTCGTTCGTCGCCAATCTCGTTGAACCACTAAATCGTGATGAAGCGATAGCTGGCCCACAGAAAAACGAGTGGGAGCACGCTATGAGTGATGAAATTAAATCACTACACGAAAACAACACTTGGTCACTAGTTAATTTGCCTCAGGGCAAGGTTGCGTTACGTAATGCATGGGTGTTCAAAACCAAATATAAAAGTGACGGTAATATCGATAAGTTTAAGGCCAGATTGGTCATTAAAGGTTGTTCACAGAAATATGGTATAGATTACCATGAAACATTTTCGCCAGTGGTCAGATACGAATCAATTAGGGCGATATTCGCAGTAGCAGCTGTGGAAAAATTAATACTACGACAATTCGACATCAAGACAGCAGAACTACAGGAAGAAATTTACATGGTACAACCACCAGGATACGAAGATGGATCGAATAAAGTATGTAAGCTTCAGCGTAGTTTATATGGCTTAAAACAAAGTCCAAGATGTTGGAATATACGCTTTAAGAACTTTTTGAATGCATTTGGTTTACAATGTACCGAAGCGGATGCATGTGTATTCAAAGCTGATAACAGCCAAATTATTCTTGCAATATTTGTTGACGATGGTTTAATCGCGGCAGATAATGAAGAGATAATAGAGAAACTTTTAACGAACTTGGAGAAAGAGTTTGAGGTTAAAAAAGGAAACTTAGATTATTTCCTAGGTATGCAGGTAAATATAATGAAAAATGGTTCATTATTTGTGCATCAGACAAATTATGCATGTAGCATAATTAATAAATTTAATATGCTGGACGCTAAGGAACTTTCAATACCAATAGACAAATCACATACACTTGAACAAAAAGAAGATACGGAAATATTGAATGAAGATATTCCTTATAGGCAGGCAGTAGGTAGCTTACTGTTCTTATCACAGGTAACAAGACCAGATATAGCATATGCAGTAAACTTTGCTAGTCGTTACTTAGCAAAACCAACTAAAGCTCATTGGAACTTGGTAAAACGGATTATACGATATATCAAGCGAACATTTAATTATGGCTTGTACTTTAATAACAAAACAAAATTGTCATTAGAAATATTTAGCGATGCAGATTACGCAGGTGACATTCAGACACGACGTTCAACGTCAGGATTTCTATTCAGGTACGGGTCAAGCATAATTTCATGGACATCGCAGAGACAACATTGTGTGTCGTTATCATCGACAGAGGCTGAATATATTTCGGCCAGTGAAGCTGTCAAAGGGATCTTGTGGATTACACGGTTGATAACAAGCTTATCAACAACAGGTGACAAACAACCAGTTTTATTTATAGATAATCAGAGTGCTATTCGTTTAGTGAAAAATCCGGAGTTTCATAAGAGGACAAAACATATAGACGTACGGTACCACTTCATACGGGAGAAATACGAAGAGGGACAATTCCAACTACAGTACATTGGAACAGAGGACCAGATTGCGGACATTCTAACCAAGCCTTTGGTTAAGGAACGATTCGAGAAGTTGCGGTCAGCCATAGGAGTGACTACAATTAAAGAGATTATTAATTGAGGGAGGGTGTTGAAATATACAATTAATATGTAGTACATGTAGTCAGCCTTGACACGTGTGTACAATATAGTAACTAGTTATGTACGAGCATAAGACTCACTCTCTCACGGATGTAACATGACCTCGGTCGTGCATATATATAGGGCCTTTGATGTATGTAATATTCACTTGCACAGACGCTGTCATACCGAGTGTACGCGGTGTGTGTGTATAGTCACAGTTTAATTGTCCAGTTGTACGTTATTATATATTATACTTATACATAATCATATTGTCGTGTTATTACTTATTATATTAATGCTAACATCATTAGTCCGTCAAGCTTCACTTTCATCAAAGCTTGTTAAATTTCTGTCCTAAAAATTATTGGGATCTCGCTTGCCACTAAATTTAAATATATGTGTGTGTGTGTGATTTAATTTTTTCTTTTATATTTTGAAATAATACTAGGTATAGTAAAATACTACTATTACAATGTATTGAATTATGAATTTCGTAAGATAGGTAGGTATAGGTATATAACATTTTTATAGTGCATTAGTACCTACTTATATAGGTAACCAGATTATATTTTAATCAGTTTCATGCAATACTCAAAACTAAATCATTCGTTAACCTCTGTTCATAATAACACTAAAGATCCAAACACAAATTATTTTTACATAAATAGACTCGGAAATATTCTAAATCAAATCTGTAACAAATAAAACAATTTCCATGCGAGATCCATGTTTTTAAATTAAATCTATTTATAAAATACGAAAATACGACACTTAATGAGTATTGCGAGATCCGTCTATAATATAGGCGTCTAAAAAACCACTACGGCCGTCCAACCATTCACGGGTCATCATGTACCTTAAGTCCCTAACCATACGAGATCCATGTTTTTTCTATTTATTAAATCCGAGTAAGTCAATTTAAATAAAGTGGATCTCACAGAGTACTTTAGCTACCTTGTGCGTGTGAGATTGTTTATAATATCGCCGTTCCGGTAGAACAATGACGCAACTGCAAAATTTGGTATAAATGGCCTAAATGCTACAATGAGTTTAAATATAGCGTACGCATAATGTAGAAAAACGACGGAACTGTAGTTGTATTTTAGACCGCCAGAAAGCAATTGCGTCGTTGCGGAATTATCAGTTTATACACTCATAAATAATTTAGTTTTTTGGGTTTCCTGTAAAATTGCAATTATTGCAGTTGCGTCATTGTTCTACCGGGACGGCGATATGATATTTTTAAACGGATCTCATAACGGATAATGTCGAAAAATAAATCAATTTATATAATGTGGATCTCGCAGAATACTTTGGCTACTTCGTGTGTGTAAGATTGTTATTAAGATATTTTTAAACGGATCTCGTAACAAATGAGGAAAAATAAATCAATTGATATAATGTGGATCTCGCAGAGACGCAGAGTACTTTAGTTACCTAGCGTGTGAGAGATTGTTATTATAATATTTGAACGGATCTCGTAACGAATGTCGAAAAATAAAATATGAATTGAGATAACGTGGATCTCGCAGGGTACTTTAGCTACCTTGCGAATTGTGTGCGTGTGAGACTTTTGTATGATAATAATTATTATCTTTAAACAGATATCTTAATGAATAGTTAAAATAAAACACAATCTTCATACAAAATATACAATTTCCCGTCATAATGTAATAGTGGTAAACTTGGTCTATCGTTCGTCGATATAATACAGTATTGGCCATTGGGTATTACCAAAACATGACGTCACTTACTACTTATCGGCGTCAAGATATTAATTTTGTCGTGTCGATTCGTCTGTCTATTTCTGCACCACGAGTGTGCAACCCTGCGAACTAACAGTGTATAATCAAAATTCCCCAATTCAATACACTCGTATCTCGTATTATAGAAGTGCATTAAAACTATTTCATTATTCTATGAACTGCAGTGTGATTAGGACTATACTCTTTATTGTTTATTACGACTATAATAGTCCCATACTCCCATCACTGATCAGTCTTCAGTGAACTGTGCCGTGTGTGAAATTTGTTATTTTATTCTTTTATTGTAACCAGTGTTCATTGTTCAAGTGTACACTATTTATTTATGATGTTAACAAGAAAGAAAAAAATACTTAACGAAATAAATGATGACTGTAAAGGTAAGATACATTTTTATAATATTTAACTACCTATGCCAGATGTAATCATATAGAAATTAAAATTACACATGGACTTACGCCGTGTCCTAGGTGAATCCGACAAATGCGATAATCGTTATACGACGCGACCGATGCGAATCGCGTTGCCGTCCGTCAATGCGATTGTCGCGGTGGTGTCCTATGTAAATACGACGAATACGATAATATTGCAGGAGATCGCACTTCTAGTGGCATATGCAGCAGTGCAGTAACGCCAAACGGTCGTGTCCTAATATACTAAAGTTCTAAAATCCTAAAGTTGTATTATTAATATATATACATTATACCTACATATACAGACTACAGTGTTGGTTAAATATGTCTCTGTCATTAAGTTTATTAAATAAAATGGTTCTAACTGAAAATACAGCACTTAAGTATTTATTATATAGAAGGTATGTAATAAATTGTAATAAAAATGTATAGTAGGTAAATGTGAAATTATTAACATTTATATGTTCAGGTATAAAAAAATGAAAAGATCGTTTCATACCAATTCAGACATTTTAAAAGATCGTTTAGTTTTTGGAGAGTTTTACCATTTATATAATCAACTCCGGAATAATGACGTTTTGTTTCGATCGTATACCAGGATGACCGTTGAAACATTTGACTACTTAGTAGAAATGATAAGACCAGAATTTGGCCTTAAATATACAAATTTTCAAGATCCTATACCAATCGAAGAAAGATTAGTTGTAACGATCAGGTAAGTAAATAATGCCATTTTTAATTTAATTACAAGTTTATTAACCTATATATTAAAAAAACAAAAACTTAATATAGGTATATAATAGAAATAGTTAATAAACAATATGATTGTCAAATATGTAAAGTTAAACAAATAATAATAATTCAGTGTACCTTCACTGAGAATTATAATAATAATAAAACAAATTCTTAAAAAAATACTTTTCCCTTCAATTACAAATAAAAAAAACGAATAGGTAGGTTTGTAGGTATTTGCAGATGACTTTTCTACTTTTTAAAATAAAATAAAATGTAACAAATGTAAATTGAATTTTTATTGAACATTAGATGAGTGAATGTAATGATAACCTGGTTCTTGTGAAGTATATTGCTGAGCGTTGTATGATGAAACTGATAGTTGAGGATCTGGAGTAGATTCTGCGATGTATGGTGGTATATTTGAAACATTTAATACCTGTTCTCGAATCGGAGATAGTTCTTCTATTAAAATATTTTGAAACTTATTTCTAACTCGAAGCTTTTGGATTGGATCTAATTTTTTAAAATATGGAATTAGAGACTGAAAAAATGACATATCTTCATCGATTTCTGAAGTGGTTACATTATTGTTATAAGACTGCTTTAAAAATGCCACTTTTTGACTCTCAATGTTCAGTAAATCTTCTAAATATTTATCTTCATTTTTTTTTTTCTTGCGAGGTAGTGTGTGATCAGAATTGCTAGATAAGTTTGTTGTTGACATTGATATTGATGGTGTACTGCATGATTCAAATGTTGGAATACATTCAATTCTTTGCCTAGTTTCTGTTTCAGTTTCCGACACATTAAATATATTCATAGTATTTGAGTCATCGTTATCAATATGGTCTATATCATTATCATGGCCACCATCAGTGTCAGGACATTCTTGAAGTGAATCTTCTTCGCCTGAAATATTACCATCTGAAATTCTCGGATTAGTTGTGTCTTTTAAAAACATTATCAATTTATAATGGGACCATTTTCCTAAATACACCTCAGCGCCTTCTTGTGAATCTCCGGAACGACTTTTTTTAACTTTTTTCTTTTCCCTCAAAAATGTGTCCCGTAAACCTCTCCATTTTTTTTCACGTCTTCCTCTAAAATTTAAATTATTTATAAAATTAATAAACTAACGCGAAGTAAAAGCAATGAAAAAAAAGGTGGGTAAGTGGATGTCGCTCAGCTGTACAGTAGGTTACAAGTGGGTCAATTTAATGAATGGTGTTAAATTTGAATTCAATGATATAATATCATTGTATAAGAAAAACGATTCTGAGCGAAAACGGTCAGTCAGCTTATGATATTACCAAGTATATTTGATGATATTATTGTGAATAAAGTAATTTATATATAACCTATTTACGTGGAACCTTGTTTTAAATTTTCACGCATTTTTACCCAACAAATAAAATTTTATTGATATTTATAGATAAAAAAACTAAAAATAATTGAAAACTGATAATGTCCGTAAACAGCTCAAAAAGAGTCAAATCATTTTCAAAATTTTATCGTGTATAGAAAATACTAATACAAACATTCAGTGAAATTTTCAAGTATCTACAGTCATTCATTTTTTAATTACAACAAAAACAAAAATCAATTTTGTTAAAAATCGATTTTGCGTAAAAATTCCCGTTTTTCCTTAATTTTTCTTTTGTTTTTCACGTCGCTTTTGAAAACTACTGGGAAATGTTTATTTTTGACCCACCAAAGTACCAACTAGATTCACTTTCCTATCATAAAAATTACTGTTGAAGAAAATCCAAACATTTTTACTGTCCTTCATATATATAAAATATATATACATATTATATTGATTATTTCAAACTTTATTTTCTATATGTGTAGTTTTTTACTTTATATGAATTTTTTTCAATTAATTAATTTATTAAAGTTTAATTAATAGCTAATTAATTCTAATTAAAATAGAATTTTTATTTTTATTTGAAACCTTGAAACTGTACATTAATAATGTCCTGGTTTTGAAATGTATCGGATCATTAAAATATTATTAAAAATAAAGGTATTCTAAAAAATAATACTTATTTTATTATTTTTATGTAGATACTTGGCCACAGGATTAGCATTTCGACAGTTAGCGCTAACATTTCGAATTTCAAAGACTGCTGTATCAAATATAGTCATCGAAGTATGTATCGCTATTTGGAATGCATTAAAAAAAAAACATATGCCTACTCCTACAGTTGATGATTTTAAAAGTGTCGCTAATGAATTTTTCACACAATGGAATTTTCCAAATTGCGTTGGAAGTGTTGACGGGAAACATATTAGAATAAAATGCCCTCACAATTCTGGTAGTATGTTTTATAATTACAAACAGTATTTTTCAATTGTTTTAATGGCTGTCGCCGACGCCAATTCTAAATTTTTAATGATCGACGTTGGTTCATTCGGCAAAGATAGTGATGGCAGTGTTTTGTGTAATACATCGTTTTATAAACGTCTTGAAAATGGTACTCTTAAGCTACCGAGTCCATGTAATTTACCGAATTCAAATCAGAAAGTTCCATATGTATTTATTGGAGACGAAGCTTTTCCGTTGAGAAATAATATTATGAGACCGTTTCCAAGAAAGCAGTTGGACGACCACAAATCATATTATAATTATCGACTTTCAAGAGCAAGGATGACGGTCGAATGTGCTTTTGGTATTGCATCTTCAAAATTTAGAATTCTTCTTAAAGCAATAGAAACTAAAGTCGAAAATGCAGATCACATCGTTAAAGCCATTTGCATATTACACAATGTGATAATTGATAAAGAGAAAGAAATATCGCCATGTCAAAATCACCTGTCAGACTATTTGAATAAAAATGTACGTGAAAAAAATAATGCTATGTTGGGACTTCATGGGGGTAGATCCAATAACCGTGCTTCGCGTTCTGCAATTGATGTAAGAAACAAGTTTGTAGATTTTTTTAAAATGAATAAATTAGCGTAAAAATAAGTGTTTATAATAATTGCAAGGTATGTAACTTATTATTTATATTAGTTTATTTTATTATTATGTAAGTAGAATTTTGCATAGAATTTCTATCAATTTCGTCATATCTTATCTTAAAGTTTTGATTGATAAGTATTTTATATTTAAGATTATTTTTCTTAAACAAATATAATATTTGTATAAGTTAATAGTACTTTTTATTTTATATATTCTAGCCTCTATGTATCTAAGTATTTAATATAATGTGGTCAATCAAATAGGTATATTAAATTTACAATACGTACTTGTCATTTTTGTTATTTTAGCTACTTCATCCCATGCCTTGTCAGAAACTACCCTGTCTTTATATTTTTTGTCCCATTTATTCCATAGAACTTTTCTTTTTTGTACTTCTGAAATTAATAACTCCATGGATACGAATGAATCGCACGACGCAACGACCAAAAACAAACTATTTTGTTTTTCAATTCGTACGACTAAACGCATACGAAAAATCGGACGCATCGGTCGTATTTGTAGTGTCACGTAGGCCACTTCCGTTTGTTTGGGTTATTTTGTTTATTTTAAGAATCGCATCGGCGCGTCGTATAACGATTATCGCATTTGTCGGATTCACCTAGGACACGGCGTTACGCGGTGTCCTACGTTAATCCGACTAATGCGACGAAAAATAAAATAGTTTGTATTTCGTCGCATCGGTCGCATCGTATTGCGACGGAACAGCATGGTCAGAATAGAAATCGGACGCATTGGACGCGTCGGACGCATTCACGTAGGCACCGCGTTAAATGTAAGAAAAAATATCGGATACCGTGAAAAATTCCTCTACATTTTTATATTTTTATATATTTAAAAATATTAATTTATTTTATATTGCTTTATTTACCTACCTGCCAATATATATTTAATTTAATTTTAGTTAATAGCCATAATATTTCAAGATATTAATTTACTATAGGCTCGACTATAGGTTAGGTATATATTTTTATTTTTTATTAATATTGACAGTTGATTTCTTTCACGTAATAACATAGGTGATATCTAATATTTTAAAAACTACTGAGAACTTAATCATTTACGATTTAGGTACCCTTCAGGCTTCAAACACCATGTAAAGTAGTCAATAAATAATCACTGATAGGTAGTATACAGGGTGATTCTTTTAAGTGGGTACACTAATTATCTCAAAAAGTATTAACTTTCTTTGATTTTTTTTTTTTTAAACTTCTAGGTTTATGTTTTTCTAAAACCGTATAATATTTAAATTTTTTTCACCCTTATATTTATTAGTGAAACCACTATCAACTTTTGATTTTCAAATTAATTTAAACATTTTGAATGAACGATAGCAACTTATGATTTCAAAAAAAAACAGTATAGGTAATATAAATTATTGTAAAATTGTATGGTTTCTATACTTTTATAACTAAGCAAATGCAATTAGTAATAAATAATAAAGAACACAAAAACTCTTTGAAAATGTACATAATATGTTTTGTTTTTATAATATTGTTCAATGTATCCACTGTAATATTCTGGTAGCTCTAACAGCTACTAGTATACTAACAGTTGCAGGCAGCTAGACCTTTTACTGTGAAGTTGAGGTAGTCGTTGAATAATTATAACACAATTGCCAAAAGTATATTGCTGTTTATTAGTTCCAACAATCACAATGATGCTAAGTCCAAAATGACAATTGTTATACGGAGCTGCGTGAAGGTGCTTGCAGTAGTATTGAGTGTACACGTCTGAATACAGACCGTTTCGGGGTCCCTCTTATAGTTCGGTCCCCGCTCCCCTTGCCTATTGATATCGTATCTTGACTCTAACGGATGTGGCCTATGCGGCCATCGACCTAACCCACGCACTTGCGAAATTACTAATCCATACTGCGTATTATTATTGATGCGTACCAAGTCTCGTTAAAGAGGTAACGAGATTGTTGGCCACGCGATGAATATAAATTTACCGGTGATGGTGAACCTCATAGAGTTCTACTGTGTTTGACGAGAGGTGGTTGAAAGAATAACAACGCTGGTGTTTAGTGTAGAATAAATAAATAATAATTCGAAGGCTGATACGAATAATCACATTACATATATAAACGGTGTTAGTAATATGGCAATAATAATAATAATAAGAAGAATAATAGCAAGTAGTAAAATACAATAATAATAAGTTATAGCAAGTATAATAATAGATATAAGTACAGTTACAATAATATGGCGTATAGCCGACTCACGACAACCGTATGCGCGATGGCCTGGCAATAGCTCCAAAATGGTTGATGAGTTGAGATGTGTGAAGTGACGGTGATGGACAATGTTGACGTATGTAGATCGTATTTAAATTGGTGTGTACATAGGACGTGTTAAATAAATACTCATTGCATCACATGTGACAAGGCGCATGATGACGCTGGCACCACAAGGATATAATAGAGTCACTTTGTCGTTGAATATTAATATGTATATAATAGTATAATAAACGACGGATTTATTCCCTTTGAGGACGTCGCGACGATGTGTGACAATGTGGCTGTCCGTGCGACGACTGGTTTGCCGTGACGTATAGTCACGGCTACGATATACGTGCGTTACGTCATATAACGCCGTCGTGCATATGACTCTACGCAACATACTCCCCCCATTGAAAGGGTAGGTTGCTTTCAATTTTTTTTTTTTTTTAGTCTTCCTTCATTTTGTTGAACATCTCCCCTTTTCACGGTCCATCCAATACGCATTTTACCGGTTATATTGCCGTAAAAATTATATAATGCAAATACACGAAAATAATATAAAATACAAATTAATAATACAAATAATTCACCCACGTAAACAGGAGAATAATAGGAATAGAAGTAATCACTTATCAAGAGGAAGGATGGCTAGTTTGACAATTGGTCGTGTGAGGGTTCCATGTTCGGTACGCACTGTGGCTACACGGACCACACCATCTGCACCCGGGTGAACTTGTTGTATGCGACCAAGTTTCCAGTGTATAGGTGGTTGATTCGGCATGTTTATCAATACCAAATCGTCAACCTTAACATTTGGTTGATTGTCTACCCATTTTGTGCGTCGTTGCAACGATGACAAGTACTCTGTTGACCATCTTTTCCAGAGTGATTGATACATTTGTCGTAGGAGTTCCCAACGATTGAGACGATTTTGAGGTATGTCAATTACGTCCTTTTCTGGTATTTCAACCATTGGATGACCAATAAGGAAGTGACCTGGAGTTAGTGCACGATAATCATTAGGATCAGCAGACAATGGAGTTATCGGTCGAGAATTGAGTAGAGCTTCAATACGACTTGTTAATGTGACCATTTCTTCAAACGTTAACCGTTGAGTACCCACAACTCGTTTTAAGTGATATTTTGTGGATTTTACAGCCGCCTCCCACAGGCCACCAAAATGTGGGGCTGCAGGAGGGTTAAAATGCCACTTACATGAAATCGCATTCGTATATGTTGTCTTGGCGGTGGAGTCTAACATTATGTTACGTATTTCTTGATCTGCTCCTTTAAAGTTCGTTCCACAGTCAGTGTAAATGTCTGATGGGGTACCACGTCGAGCGACAAAGCGTTGTAAAGCCGCCAAAAACGTGTTAGTTGAAAGGTCAGAAACCACTTCAATGTGTACAGCTTTGATAGTCATACACACGAAGATAGACAGGTAACACTTTATTGATCGTGAGTTCTTACGACGGCTCTCAGCTAGGATAAGTGGTCCAGCAAAGTCGATACCAACGTGCAAAAATGGTCGGCATAATGTTACTCGACTGGATGGGAGGTCGGCCATCATAGGATGAGTAACCGACGCTCTATGGCGAGCACACACAACGCATTTGAAGATAACGTGACGTATGGCCGATCGACTGGATATTATCCAATAATAACTTGATAGTAACGATGACATTAATTGAGGTCCAGCGTGGAAGTGATTCCAGTGGAAATTACGAATAATGAGTGTAGTCAACGTACTTGATTTTGGCAACAATATTGGGTTTTTTGTTTCTGGTGATACCAATGCATTTCGGAGTCGTCCACCCACCCGTATAATGTTGTTTTTATCAATAAACGGCGCAAGTTGGGCAATTGAACGAGGAACTATCTTTGCAGTTGGTACTTGTAGGATCCTCAACAAACTTACGAAGTGTACTGATTGTGTCATACGAATGATCGGTACCATCACATTCGAAATTTCTTCACCGGAGATAGGGTCATATATATATTTGGGTGCGACGTATGGGACACGGTTCGTGCGCGTATGCCTTATAAACCGATACATGATGGCGGTGACGCGTTGCATACGTTTCAATGACGAAAAACGTGTGAACCATTCAACTTCCTTTTCCGGCACCACCATTAAGCACGCGTTTGTTGGATCCGAATAATCTGGCAAGTGTGATGGTTGAATTGGTTTGAACGATGTGATTGGCCATTCAGAGTCCGGTAATTTTAAAAACGGAGGCCCCTGCCAATATAAATGTTGGTCATGAACCTGTGATGGGAATAGACCTCTTGATACACAATCCGCTGGGTTTGACTCCGACACAACATGTCGCCACTGACAAGTTGGTAAAATTTCGGCAATTTTTGCAAGTCTGTTGGTTACGAATATTTTAAAACTTGACTGAGGTGACGTGAGCCATGATAATACTATAGATGAATCTGTCCAGGCTAATGTTTCTGAGATAACTATATTACCTTTAAATGTGTTGGTTAAGCGATGTAGCACTTGTGCTAATAATAGTGCACCGCACAGTTCCAAGCGTGGTATAGTCAACGTGGTCTTGGTGTTGCTAGTCTTGGAGGGTGAAACCTTTGATTTGGCAGTAATAAAATGTATTAGTACACGCCCGTCCTGGTGAATAGTGCGCAAATAGACCACGGCGGCATAACCTTTCTCCGATGCATCTGAAAAACCAATAAGTTGCACGCTAGTGAGCTTCTCGGTGGGAATATGGCGACAAATTTTTATCCCCGAGACCATGTGCAATTCAGACTCGTACTGTTTCCACAGGTCAATTAAGTGTGACGGTAATGGCTCGTCCCATTGAAGACCCGCTTGCCAGAGTAACTGCATGAAGCATTTGGCCCAAAATATGATGGGAGCAAGAGCACCAAGAGGATCATATAGTTTGGCGATCGTTGACAACACTGATCTTTTGGTATGAATATTAGATATTATGGAGGACGTATGATAGGTAAAGGTGTCGGCAGCTGGATTCCAATGTAATCCAAGTATTCTTACTCCCGCATCGTCTTTAGGATCAAAACACAAACTATTAGCTTGATCTTCATTTGGAACTTTAGAGAGTAATTCTTTACAGTTTGACGACCATTTTTTTAACTCAAAACCACCTCGGCCGAGCATCTCGGTGATTTCGTCCTGTAGTTCAAGTAAATCTTTAACGCTATTGCAACCAGTCAGAATATCGTCAACGTAGGTTTGTGTTGACAAAACATTACCGGTTGTCGGATAAAGATGTCCATCGTTTTGCTCTAATTCGTGCAACACTCGAATCGCTTGGAACGGAGACGACGTGAGTCCATACGTAATCGTCGTAAGCTCATAGTCACGTAGGGGTTCTTGTGGTGTTGCACGCCAGAATATATGCTGGTATTGACAATCTTCTGTATGAATTCTGATTTGGCGGTACATTTTACAAATGTCCGCGGTGAATATATATTGGTTGAAACGAGAACGGTGTAACAATTCGGTGATATCTGTCTGTAACTTAGGTCCAACATGGAGCAAATCGTTCAATGACTTTCCCGAAGACGACTTGGCCGAAGCGTCGAAGACCACTCGAAGTTTCATTTTTGGTCCATCTCGTTTCACCACAGCATGATGGGGAACATAATATTTTCCCGGTATTGAAGACATCTTCATGTGACCAAGGTTTTCATACTCGAGCATGAACAGGCGATAGTGCTCATATACCTGCGGGTCTTTTAACAATTTACGTTCCAAATTATAGAACCGTGATATCGCCATGTCCCGAGAATCGCCAAGACACGATGGGTCAATACTGAATGGTAGTGCTAATGAGTATCTACCTGTACTATCGCGAGTTGTTGTACGAATAAAATGGTCTTCACACTGTTGGTCGGTAGTGAACGTACTGTTCGTTGGTACTGGTTCTTCGACGGCCCAGAACTGCTGGATTAGATGGTCTATCGAAGGCTCCGGTGTCAACAATAAGGAAACCGGGGGTGTACGCGAGTCCGCAGAAGATTGACCCACTATTATCCACCCTAAACGTGTTTCGAAAGCTGATGGACAATTTGAGGTATGTAGTACCTGACAAGATTGTCCTAGTATATACGGGTAAATATCTGCGCCCAGCAAGAAATCGATATGACCTGGTACGTCAAAATGAGGGTCGGCAAGCGTTAAATGCGAATAGGTGGTACGAATGTTACTAGGTAATAGTACGTTCGGCATCGGTCCAGTAATCCTAGACAAAATTACAGGTTCACAATAAATTTCTGGTGATGTCGAGTGACGTGGTAGTAAAGTACAATTAGTTGAGCCCTTTGTTGTAGATACCGATGTTTGTGACAAACCAGTTACCGCGGTATTACAATGCCTACGTTTGATTCCCAATCTTGATACGCACGCAGTAGTAATGACGGATATTTGTGACCCAGTATCAATAAGCACACGAACGGGAGATAATTGCCCACAGTTATTACGTATGCGTATAACCGCTGTACCCAGTACTACGTTGGTTTTCGAACTAGACGTCCCCACAAACGGCACACTGTCGGTCGTATTAGACACGGTTGGTACGGGTGTAGCCGAGGGCGTGGGTGTCGATTGATTAACGTTGTTACTTTTATTCGTAGGACAGGAATTTTTTCGCGTTTGTGCGGTCTCCAGGTGTAATAAAGAATGGTGTTTGAGTGCACAGTGACGACAGGTATATGTCGATTCGCAGTCAGACGTTTTATGGGACGAACTTAAGCAGTTCGTACATAACCTGTTTGATTTCACAAGCCGAAAACGTTGTTTCGCGTTCTGCTGGATGAACTTTGGACACTGATACAATGAATGTTTGCCTTTACATATCACACATAATACTGTTGGATAAGTCGACGATGTAGTTAATGAGACTTTAGATTTAAAATTATTTTTGTGCCCATCATTAGGTTTTTGTTATTGAACTTGAATTTTGTAACATTTGGCACCGAATTCGTACGAACTCAGCCAACATGTCGAAAGTAGGTACTTCAGCGGCGTGATATTCAAATTCAAATGCCTGACGAGTTACAGGATCCAATATACGAGCCGCAAGATAAAATAAAAAGAAACCAGGAAAATCATCGACTTCGAGCGCATTTATCGCTTCTATATTTTCCTGGAATGTAGTTAAGAAACTGTTTAACTCCACAAGAGATTCGGTTTTTATAGGAGAAACTCGAAAAAGCGTATCCATATGTGCACCCAAAAGCACACGTTTATTGTCGAAGCGATCATTCAAATTTTGCCATACAATTGGATAATTGGCTTCAATCAATGGAACCGATTTTACCGTAGCAGCCGCCGAACCTGATACGGCAGACAATAGATGATGGAATTTTTGAATCGGTGGTACTTGATCATTGTCATGCACTAAAGATACGAATGTGTCACGGAAGGCTCGCCAATGTAGAATATTTCCGTCGAACGACGGCAATTCTATTCTTGGTAGTTGAATATTTCGTGTGGTAGGTGGTGAAACTGGATTCTGCTTAGTTAAACCAATTTCATTGCATATAGATTTTATGGTATAATATTGTTCTAATGCGAGTTTTCCTATCGGGTGGTGTGTTGTAATGAATTCACTATCGCGGTCGAGTTCGATAAACCCGTCTAAAATCGAATCTTGATAGAGACGGACGTCGGTAATTAACATTTCAAGATCATCCAGTCTCGGTTGCAGTATCGCGATATCGGCCTGTTCACTTTTTGTGCTATTAACAACACCCATTAAAATCGAAATTTGCTCCACGGCTTGGTCTCGTTTATAAATATTTCGTTTTAGTAATCGCTCGAGTCGCTCCCGATCTCCTGCGGTCAGCGACATAATGACGCTTCAACTTTAAGTTATTTACTTGAAAATCCAAGATTGAAATTTGAAGCTTACGTAAATATATCAATATGTATTAAATAATGATTAACGATATGCATACACAGGTCGGAATGTAATATATAAGAAATAACGTTTGTGTTATCTTTATCCCTTTTTTCAGACTAATGATCATTACCCGGACCTTAAATTAGGTATCGTAATTGACGTCGTTAAACAATTGTTGCCGATACGCGACTAATTGACGAAGACCGGTAGCGATCACGGAACAGATAAATCTGTATCCTCGCGTGATGGCCGACGAGTTACCGATGGACAGTCCAAAGTCCAAAGATTAGACGCGGCGACGGCGACGACGGCGCACAACAGTAGTTATCGTAAAAACCAACATAAACGTAAATTCAAGGTTGACCAGTATATTTCGTTGTGCTATGATAAACTTGTTACACTCAAGAATCGATGCAGAATTGAACTTTGTACGTGAACAAATGTAAAAGTGAGATATGATATCGAGACCCAAAATATCGCAGCCAATGGATGTGGAACAATGTCAGGAGTATACAGAGTGAGTGGAGTATTAACAAAATTTTTTTTTTTTTTAAATGAATACCTAACTCCTCATGATTCTTACTAAATAAGTTTACCACAAGTAAAACACAAGTAGTTAAATCCTCATAAAGGCCACCATCCGGTTCGAAGGACCAAATGATGCGTACCAAGTCTCGTTAAAGAGGTAACGAGATTGTTGGCCACGCGATGAATATAAATTTACCGGTGATGGTGAACCTCATAGAGTTCTACTGTGTTTGACGAGAGGTGGTTGAAAGAATAACAACGCTGGTGTTTAGTGTAGAATAAATAAATAATAATTCGAAGGCTGATACGAATAATCACATTACATATATAAACGGTGTTAGTAATATGGCAATAATAATAATAATAAGAAGAATAATAGCAAGTAGTAAAATACAATAATAATAAGTTATAGCAAGTATAATAATAGATATAAGTACAGTTACAATAATATGGCGTATAGCCGACTCACGACAACCGTATGCGCGATGGCCTGGCAATAGCTCCAAAATGGTTGATGAGTTGAGATGTGTGAAGTGACGGTGATGGACAATGTTGACGTATGTAGATCGTATTTAAATTGGTGTGTACATAGGACGTGTTAAATAAATACTCATTGCATCACATGTGACAAGGCGCATGATGACGCTGGCACCACAAGGATATAATAGAGTCACTTTGTCGTTGAATATTAATATGTATATAATAGTATAATAAACGACGGATTTATTCCCTTTGAGGACGTCGCGACGATGTGTGACAATGTGGCTGTCCGTGCGACGACTGGTTTGCCGTGACGTATAGTCACGGCTACGATATACGTGCGTTACGTCATATAACGCCGTCGTGCATATGACTCTACGCAACAATTATGATGTACTGTCAGATAATTTGTGACTGTCAATTTTATTATAAATCATACTATTTTTTATATTGCAATTCTCTCATCTAACGCTATCGCATTTATCACATCCGCCTATTCGACATGACTGCAAAATCATGCTAATCTACTGTGGTACTATTTGAATATCGTTTCTCCTTGAGCCTCACATTTATTAATTGCGAATTTGTTTATGCGTTTGTTTTTGGCGTTATACTCCCTATGGTTCCTTTGATTAATTACAACCAAAAAAGGTTAACTATAGTTTCTATTTTGATATATCTGACCATTACCTATTTACAGTATAATATATTAAATATGTTTCCTGACGAAATTTAAATGTTGCGTAGTAACTCGCTTACTACATCTCCCCCTTTAAAAGTTCATTTTTATCGTCTTAAACGAGAAAAATTAACTCAATTTAATTTCTATTACTTCAAGCACCTTCCTATAGCAAAATTTTACATACATTAGTTATTACATTTTTATGTTACATATGTTTGTTTACAATTACATGATATGGATACATTATCGTTTACAAGAATTCACAATACAATATTATTATTAAAATATAAAGTACAATATTATTACGAACAAAAAAATATAATGTACAATCCACGATATATTCTTTTGATATTATATGTGTTTACAATATTTATGTTAGTATTCACTATGTTTAACAATATATTTTTATTATTATTATATTTTTTTTTTACAATTATAATCTTAACCTAGTGTTAGTTAATTGATATAATATGAATTCTTAATCCTATTACAATATATTCTTTTTCATGCAATATATATATATCATATTAATACGTATTTTCCCAACACCATGTTAATAACTATATTTCCTTTATTTATTACGTTTATCTTTTATTATTCTTATAAAATTTATTCTTAAATTTTCCTTTTTTTTTTTTTTCTTTTTTTTTTTCTTTATTTTTTTTTTCTATAATATATATATTTCCCATAACTTTATCCTTATCTAATATATACTTCCTAATTATCATATGATTTTATCTATTTTACTACAGTTCCAGACCAGCAATAAACTATTCACTCAAAGTTTTATCTCTGATCCAGTCCAGCACTAAAATGATTTTATTCTACTGTAAACGCTGCGTTTTGTATCTTGTTAATTGGAATCCCTAGCGTTCATTGTGCTATTTAATCAAAGTACCAATTTACGCTAATGACTAAATTAACAAGACTTTATCCATAATATTTTCTTATCGAGATTTTTTTATTCATTCGATCCGTTGATGATCGTGTTCAAAAATCCATTCTCATTACAACTTTTAAACCTACCACCAACAGATCAAATGCTTTCTTTCTTTTTTTACTGAGTATTTCAATCCGTCCGGAATATGATAATATGCCAAAGATCGTCATTCAATAATATTAGATCATTACGCACCATATCACATGTCGAACCGACTAAAATTTTTCCATTTTTGATTTCGAATGTTTCTCTATCTTGTTCGGGATATAATATCATGCCATAATCACGATTTATTAACATTGATTACAAGACATAATATTATACTCCGACTCGATTTTAAATTTTATATTCCTATTTATCTGTAATTTATAGAATTTATCTTTATTACTATATTATCATTACATTGAAATGTTATGTACAATTCCTAATTCATATATAGACGTTTATTTCAAGCTGTTGGTTAGTTCGCTGTTGAATAGCCCCATTTATCGGATCCATAGTATTATTATTAATTTATTACTTTACTATTACAATAATATGCTCATCATGTCATAACATCTTAGATAAGTGTTTTAGGATTTGAACTTTAAATTATCCGAAATTTTTCACGAAACTTGCGTAACCTTGCCTCCCGACCATTGTGTTAAAAATACATTTGGTCAACCTCACGTCCGTTTTCGGGTCGTGGGCGTATGTTATTTTATGTTTTTTCGTACACACAAGTCCATGAGCTTCCGTCAAATTTAAAGTTCTACCATTTTTCCTAAAATATCCCACATCGTGCTCAAAAATTATTTCTTTTATTTTATGTTCTTTTAGCTTTTCGAATTGCACTGTAAAATTTCCTGTAAAATACTTATCATAGCATGTTATGTTTAAAATTTCAAATTCCAAGTTTAATCTTTTCAAAACATTTCTGTCGGAATTTCCATTCCATAATACTACTATGTTCCGTTTTCCTCCCTTCAAAATGTAATTTTGTATACATTCTGGTGTTAGATTATTTAATTTGCTATTCAAACTTTTATCCAGCTGCATCAGACATGTCGTCCTTGTCACCTCCTTACAGCTGAACACCCGCATGATCTCCCTCTTAGCCAACAGTAATTCATGAACTTTCATCTCTCTTACTCGTTCATGAAGTGGCAAGAGTAGCGGTCTCCCTTCTAGTTTTCTTATCTTACATTTGTCCAAACTGTTTGAAATGGCGCCAGATAGTAACACCATACTCGTTCTGTTTATTGGAGAGAACTCAAAATCCAATATGACGAACTTTATGTCCCTTTTTTTTAATTCAATTTATTAATATATAACATTATATTATCCTTATTCTAAACCTAATTATGTTGTATTATTATTCTATCTTAGAATTGTTAATAATTATTTAACATGCTAATTATTATATAATATATATTAATTTATTATATTATCCTTTATTTTATTGTGGGGGGTATATCCTCCCCTTCGACTAGGTTTCGTTCGTCTACTTCATTTACTTTTGGTTCTCTATTATCGCACTTTGCTCTAAATCTAGATTTTCTTATTTGCATCATTTCGTAATGCGGTTGCCTTAACGACGTCAACCTGCACTTATATGTTATGTAAATAAATATTATTAATATTATCGAAAATAATATTAATCCTAATGTCAAATATAACAAATAGTTACGAGTGTTGCCTACATTTTCTTGTCCTGCTTGTTTTATTATCTCGTTATCTATTTCGTTTTGTATAAAATCTAAAGAATGTGCTATTTCGTGAACTTTGTCCAAATTATGCGAATCTTTCTTAATTACCAATCTAGGTAAATTTATATCTTTTATTTTGCTAGGTATCGTAAATACTATATTCCCCGATCCTATTTTTGGTATAAAATTTACGTAATATTTTGATCTTATGTCCTGTGTAGGACTTAGTATTATATCATTTCCGTACGCCCTACAGTCCGAATTTATCGTAATTAAACCTTGGTTTTCTATTCTCTGAATATACGGTTCGGCGATATTACGACACGTGATTGTCAACGTTTCGCCTTTTGTCGTATATATCCATGTATTTGCATATTTTAACTTAAAAAAAATATCTTTTGTAAGTACCAGTACGCCTGCTTCGCAAGTTTTTGGTAATACGTCCGGATTTTTAAATAACGATATCTCGCATGGATTCCTACTACTAGAATGCACTACGGGTGAAAACTCAGGACATATTGTGAATATTTCTGTCTCTTTACAACTCAAAAGTTGCGTTTCCGTAAAAGTTGTGTACTCCTCCCGATTTTTCGTAATTCCTACATATTGGAATTCTGGTTTAAGAATAATA